GGGGATAAAACATGGAGATGGGGTGGAGAGATGGGAAGGAGGGAGAGATAGGGAGAGAGAGAGAGAGAGAGGGAGCCCTCTCTCAATGTGCTGGTGAGCTAGCCATGCAGAGCCCATTGCGAACAAGCCATCTGTAGAGATAAGTAAAGAAGTGATTACAACAGGCCCAGCTCAATTTCTGACAGTTGACGCTTGACTGCCCCTGTAGAGCCGAATTGATTTAAATGAAGAAGCTATGAATATTTTAGAGGGTAGAACCCCCCTTTAACCTGAACTGTTTTGGTCTCCCTCCCACCCCTGTGTGTGTGTGTGTGTGTGTGTGTGTGTGCGCATAACAGGACAGACATGGGGGAGAATGTAATTATTGATAGTGAGATTACAGGCCTATTGTCACAATGTCTGCAATCAGCTGCCTTCTTTAAGCCCTGATGAATCAATGACACTGCCTGGATCTTTTCTGTCTGCCCTGCTTTGTTCATCAAAGTGAGCTTTGCAGTGTACACCAACCCTTGTTTGGGGATTTAGCGTCAAACCAAACTGGTGTACAGTACACTCTGACTGATGCCTCCGGCTAATTCTCTCTACAAACAAGCTGGGGCCCATCAGTGGGTCTGAGCGTGTGTTCGTGTGTGCACAAAAAAAACCCCAAAAAAACTGTCCTGATAAAAATAGGCTGAACTTCTGATGTACTAAATATGAAATAACGCCACAATAGATGCCACCCTGAAGACAACATCAAAGTTGACAGTCAGCTATATAGCATTGTTTGTATGTGTCGAAAAGCCAGTTACGCTGGCAGTGTTGGAGACGATGGACCACACCCATTCATTACACTTTAAAAAACTGTATGAAACGACGGGCACTATCAAAGAAAACCACATATGTCTGTTGCTCTTGGTAACCTTGCAGCAGGGTGAACATCCCGCTCTGAGGGCATCTCTATTTAGTAAACGATGAGCCGCATTAAAAAGGGCAGCAACAGCTTTGAAGGTTGGTGGCAAGGTGCCGTTTTGGGAGCGAGTGATGGCAGGTTGTGAAATGCTGCCCTGCGGCCTTTCCCAGGAGAGCGGCAGCGGCAGCGTTGAACTCCCTTCACCCCTTTGCCATTGCAAACATACCTTGATGACAAAATGTGTTATTGATGTTCACCTGAAGGTGAAAGCAGGCGTGTTCCTGTGGACAAACTGATCTCTCTCTCACACACACACACACACATACTCGCGCTGCACATACTGTGGTGTTTCCAGGCATTCAGGCTACTAAATCACTGTCGCCATTGGCTGGAGGGGGTTAGGCAGACGTGGCACAATAAGGAGCTTGGCTGATGCTTCCCTCCCCTGGAAGAACAGAGGACCTTGCCTCAGAGCTGTCCATCTATCCTGCCAGTCCTATCAAGCTGGGATCAACAAAGCCCCTGAATGAAGGCTCTCATCGCTCTGTCCATGATAGCACCGAGGTGCATGAATGGATAAGAAAATATTACAAGGCTGAGGTACTTGGCATTGACAAAAAGGGTTATATTCTTAAACTGCAGTTCAGAAATATTAAGGTCTGGGATTTGCATTACTGCTTTATGTCAGCAAAGTCGCAAGCTATAATTTTTATTAAAGTTGTAAGTAGCTTTGCCAAAAAATCCTGAGTGGATTGTTCAAAAAAAATAATTTTTGGTACTTTATGTTCTGCCTTAATGGATGTCTCTTTTTCTCCAGCTGTTTACGACAGCAACTCTCCTCCTCCTATGTCGGAAACTCACAGTACTCCAGCCAATTCTGTTTAGGGACAAGGCTTTCTGTTTATGCTCTGCCGTTCATGTTTTCCCAGTTCTCAGCGTACGGTTGCCAAATAAAAGCTACATGCAGAAATAAAAAAGGGAGGAAGTGATATTAGCAGTTCTTTCGCAAGGCCGACAACAATCTGCTGGCCTGCGCAAAGTCCACACACATCACCCACAGTTTTTCATGATGCCTGACAGCCCAAACAATTAGGGACCCGATTGTTGTGCTTTCTGATGCTGCAGCCACTCAGGAAGCCAGAAGAGAAACCACATGGGTTTGGAGTTTACCAGCAAATCTTAAAACTTTCTTGCTTTCTTCTCTTCAAAAAAAAAAAAAACATCACTCCAACCAACCTCCCCCATCAACATAACTGAAAATTGATCCTGCTCTTACAGTCCATTGCACCAAGAAACAATAAAACACCATCTGTTTTTTCTCCAGCCTCATCTCCTGCTGGGCAAAAGGACTTCCGCACTTAAATACCACATGAGTCAGATTAAGCTGCCAGTCACTTGCCCTTCAGACACACAGCGTTCATGTAGCCCACTTGGCACCTCTAGTCTTCACAAGACAAACTCACTAAAGCTTGCCTTGCTCTTGTCTTTGGAAATCCCTGGTGACCACTTTCTTTTATACTGTGGACAGCGTAAGAAAAAGAAAAAAAAAACCAACAACAGAGAACAAGAAGCCTATGAGCTGCTGAGCACTTGAGCCCACCGTGCAATCCCTCTTTCCTTCATACCCCAATTTTTAAGTGTGTGACAGTCATGTGAACAAGGCCATGCACATTCTTTCATGCATGAGCGCATAACTGTTGTAAGGATTCTGACAGGCACTCAGTGAAAAAAATCAAGTGCATTTAATCTGCAAGGCCACAGACTTTTCACCAGAGACATACGGAACTGTTGCTCAGAATGTGACCAAATTACAAGCCGAATGCTCACACTGCTGGTGACTGTGCAAAACCTCGACTGTCGACACTAGATGAGAACAATCAAACTATTTAAGTGGCAGCATCTTTGAAGAACTAATAACACTGGGAATGAAGAACATATGATCTGGATTCTTGTCTAGCCACTTAATTGGACCAAAAGGTCGTGTTAGGCCACATTCACTTCAGCGAAGATGTCACTGAGTGCACTCTTCGAGCCAGAGAGCTCTTTTGTAAACCCTCTAATGAATAGTTAGATCCAATGCGGAGAGGTTGAAAAAACAGAGGACCAAAAAAGAAAAGCACTGAGGGGGTAAAAAAACATGTCTACCAGCAGTTTGTTTCTAAACCCACGTGCAGAGGAACATACCAAGAGACTACCGTCTGTGAACTTTTTTTTTAAAGAAGTCCAGAAACCGATAAAGCCAACAGATGTTTTTGGGATTGTCTCGTGCTTTTCAGGCTGGCTGGTTTGGATTCCTGCTCAAGAACGGGAGGTGAAGAAGAACTCTTGCGCTGTTGTCTGTTTTGTATTCTACCCCTATGATCCAATAAGCCTCTGAGCCACGTGATGACACTAACGGATGTTGTGCCTCTCTACTCTACACCCCACCACCGCTGTTCCCCTGGTTGTGCACTAAATTTTTTATTACATTCAAGCAGTAAGGCAAGGAGCAGCTATGCTACCCCCCACCCACACACACCCACACACACACACACACACACACACACTCCCCCTGCAATTCCTCCATTGAGCAAAACAATGTGGAGTCGAGTAAGGGATCAGAGGTCTTTTCCTGGGCCAAACCCCCACAGTCTCCCTCAGACGAGCTCACATGGTTTGAATCAATGCTGCCACTAGAGCTGTTTGGAGGACCAGTTCAATAAATACTATCGAGCTCGCTAGATATCTGCTTTGAAAAATGTGTGTGATTTGTCCCTTTAGTCAGGAGGAATTTCTAATCTCATCTGACTCGGAAAAACAAGCAGGGGGGGAAAAAAAAAGAGAGAGAGAGAGAGAAAGATGGAGACAGACTTGCAATGCAAACAAAAATGGTTTTGGGTGCTTTTGTTGTTGCTGCCAAACATCACAAATTCCTGTTTAAATTTCCCTTTGTCGTGTGTTTCTATAGTCTTGAGACGAGGAGGAAATTGGCCCTTAAGAGCCTGTGGAGATTCCTGCCTTTTACGCTCCTTCGGCAGCGAAAGACAACAGAGCTATCCCTTCTATAAAGGCCTGCTCGAGCTTTGTACGGTGTGTGTCTCCTTTGAGGTAAAGGAACGGTTGTTGTTGTAATATAACTCTCTCTTATTGCAGCAGATCAGTGAGATGAAATCTCTCCTGGCTCCTGGTGGTTACTCAACCAGAGAAAACTAAACACAAACACATGCACAAACTAAATCACACAGCAAGAAAAGTCTGATGTTATACAAGCAGCATCAGACAGTGACATGTTATTTATAGACGTGGAAGAAACATCCTTTACACATGAGCCCACAAATATTAACTTTGGAGTGGATGTGTTAGGATTTGTTCTTTTTTTTTAAAGATAAACAAACTGTAAAAAGTAACTCTCAGAGCAGGATTGTTCTAATTGCCTCCCATGCTTTACTAAATATAAACGGCTTGTTAAAAATAAATTGAATTACTGCAAGGCCTGACTGAAACATTAAGTTCAGTCCAGTTAAGGCCCTGCTTCTACTGCTGCTGCTGCTGCTCAGGAACTGTGGCCTGTGGGTGCAGCTATCCAGATTACCAGATTAACCAGGGATAACACTGGCAGGAAAGTTTGATCTGATTAAGGTTGGCATGGCTTGCAAAACATTGTTTGTATTAAGTGCATATTTCAGGAACGCCAAGAGCTTCGGGATAACGTGGCCCGGAACAGAGCGCCGCAGTCTCGCCGAGGTTTCTCAGAAAAAAAAAAAGAAAGAAAGGAAAAAAAAAAAAAACCCAACCTGGGCGCAAAGGAGGCGCAAAAAGGAGAGAGATGGGGAAAAGTGGGTCAAGTGTATATATTGCAGTTATGGAGCTTGGTGATGGAGATAACGTGTAGCGGTGTTCAGCACATATTATGGGGTGTAAATAATTGAAATAAAACAGGCTGGTGACACAGGAGGGGGGAAAAAAAAAGGCCTTATCATGGCATTTTACGCGCAACCGCTGTGTGATGTGAAAATAATAACAACATGGGGGGGAAACAGCACATTTATAGATTATAAATGCACAGATGAAAGCAAAGCGAGGTTGAACTTCCACCATCAAGTGGGATGAAGTTGAGGGAGACACCTACAGTGATTGGAGCCGTTCCAGTGCTGGTTCCTGATGGACGTGCTGTAGGGATGGGGCGCTCCGGGCACCAGTCCTTTCTCCGGGATCAAGCATCCTCTGCTCTGGTTGTAGTAATCCATCATTAAAAACGGGTTCGGGCTGGGGTTCAGTCCCACAACGTCCACGCTCTCATACATCATACGAAGCAGGGCGACAGCAGGGGAATATTACCCCCCAAAAAATACAAAATTAAAAAAGCGAACTATTGTCACGCACGCAGGAACACGCGAGCCTCGGGGGGGGTTTTCAGCTCGCCACCAGCAGAGGTAGGATCGGAGGGGACCCAGACGGGGAGCGAAACTGCATTAAAATCGAGGGAAAAGTGGTAAATCCAAACGCAGCGGGAACATTTGAACATTTGGCATCTTCTCACAGCGCTGTACTGATGGATGAAAAATAAAAAAAATAAACCCGAGGGTGTCTGATTTAGCCTAGTCGGCTGCGCTCAATTTGAAAACATAATTTAGGAGAACATTCTGCATTGTGTCCGATTGGAGGGACACGACGCGCAGGAGGATGAATCTACAAGCACTCGGACAACTTCGGTGGAATAAAATCGGCCTTTGCTCAAACAGAGAGCAACATATGAGGCTGGTATCCACACGACAAAGAGGAGAGAGAGAGAGAGGGGTAAAAAAAAAAAAACGCATACAATCCCAGAAAATAAAGATCTCCAAAAGTCCAAAAAAAAAAAAAAGGAAATTATGGATGAGGCGCAAATATGAGGAGAGGGAATTCCGCGGAGTTGTAGTTCGTCCTTTTGGGTTATGGTCGGTTGTCCCGTTTGCGCCCGCCGTGGGTGGACTCCTGTCAGCTCCGTGAATGAACCGGTCTCCTCTTTTTTTTTGCTTTGCGCACCACAACAACCAGTGGCTCTCCACGGTCACACTGCGCTCTCCGACATCCAGGTTCGCACGAAACGCGCAGCACCGCCTTGTTTGTATTTGGAGAGAGAAATCATTCCCACACCAAACCGTGCGGCTATCATGTTCTGCAGAAATGTGACAAGGCACAGCAGCTGAGGGCTTTGGCTCCACCTCCACTCGGCTCTTTTTCTTTTTTTTTTTTCTTCTCTTTTTTTTTTCCTCCTCCTGCCTCCCCTCAGTGCCTTTCATGCGTTTGCTCCTCCTCCGTTTAACCCCTTCAGGGACGTCACCGTGGATCTCCCTCTCTGTGAAACACGGGCCCTGCGTGATTGTGAGGGGGAGCCCTCCCTCAAATTGAGCAGCGGGGACTTTAAATAGGAACGTATTTGAGGACATGATTAAGTTATATAAGCTCAGTAATTAGTCTTTCATATCTTTACGCGCAGCTCATGGACATAATGAGTGCTGCAACAGAATGTAACTCTCTCTCACTCCCTTTTTTTTTTTTTTTTCCTGGAAGTTCTCTTTATTTGGGCTCCTCCTTCCAACTAATTTGACCCTTTCCCCCATGCTCTCATCAGTCCCTACCCTCCAATTTTTTTTCTCCCCCAGCCGCTGTCTCCCTTATTTGCCTAATGCTATGCGGCTGAACTTTTCCTGAACCCAAGGAAGTAGGCAGCCTCACCTCCTGGTGACCCACTGGCTGACTCGGATTGGCCTCTCTGGCTTGCTCTCATCCCACATTATTCAAGGTTTCCCACCTTGTACACCCAGTGTAACACCATTACACTTTTTTCCTCGAGTGCTACCCAGAGAGGCCCCTCGGTTCGCTCACATTAAGGAACAAAAAGTGGCAAAGTCACCCAGTCGTAGTAACCGGGGATCGACTTTTCTCACAGTTTAGTTCCAGCTGGGGAAAGTCCGGGAAGTTGTTGTTTGATTTGCTTCACGGTTGCATCACATGGCCCAATAAAAACGCTTTACTCTGCAACATTCCATGCAGCATTGTTGTTTTTGTAAACCTGCAGCCGTATCCGTCCACGAGACTTCGGTCCACGCGAAGCTGCGAAGGCGATGCCAGAACTAGTGTTGCAAGAATACAGTGGCAACAAAGTGCCGCAAACACATCCTCAGTGTCATGCCTTCCAAAAACACTGACTGTCATGTGATGTGCAGGCCAGCTGTTGGCTCAAATTGCCTGAACATGTTGGTAGAGATTAAGGCCAAGCACCCACTAAATATTAAATTATAACTTTTTTTAAATTTTTACTTTGGCACTGGAATGAATTTGATCTCTTAAAAGAAAAGAGAAGCAGGTCTCATCGTTGTTTGGGACGTGTCTGACAAAATCAAGAACATTTGATTCTGACGACTTGCCAGTGTTGTTAATCTCACGTGTAACCTCCCAGCTTTTCCAAACTGCCTGCGTGGACAGAAAACATTTGATACTTCAGTAGCCTTTTCAGATATATCTGAATTAAAGTGGCCAAAAAACCCAGAGTGACTGGCGTTGTAACACACACCGCTGCCGGAACAATGCCTCTCCTCCCCCCACTTTCCCTACACCTGAGCCGCGGGCCACAGCTGGGTCTGACCAACACGGTTTTTGAGAGGGATTATCTGCATGGAGACTGGCAGGGGGGCTCGGCCCGCTCCGCCCCTACTGACTGTGACACTTATTTAATGCAGGCCCCAGTGTGTTTACCCTGCCTGATAAGAGCCAATGTGCAGGCCTGGGCCACGGCGACCCCTCGCCTGCATTGATAGCGCAGCCACACATTCCTTGACAGGATTAGCCCTATGAGTAATGACTGTCAGAAAATGCTAATTTTCCAGGCTCTGTTTTCTTGTCCGAGGGGAGAGCATTCATCCTCGGGTAATACCCCGCGATTGCATAGAACACGCCGAGAGATAACGGATTGTTGATCATTACTTATTAGGGGAGGGACGAATACAAGATTAGACTGAAATAAAGTCCTTTTCCCACAGCTTTTTCGCATTTATTTTTGGACCGTAAAGCAACGTTGTCACGCTTAGAAGGAGCTGATTATGTCCAGATGACTGAGAATAAATAAATGCAGTATTTTTATTTTCACAGAAGGAGGGACAATTTGTTACAGAGGACTCCTTAGGGTAGACATTTGGGAAATTGGGTGTATTGCATTACATACATGGAAAAAAATAGGCACTGGTTTCCTGCCAGGAGGTATCCTGTCTGTATGGAGGAGAGCCACATTAGAAACAAACATGAGAGCGCAAAACAGAAACATACAGAGATGTTACACGGGAGAGATTCTCCACTTAAAGAGGCTGTTCCTCCCAAAAGCCAATCATCTGCTTTGTAACAGCTGAACAGAAAATCATCCAGTCAGTCAGGTTGTTACATGAGCATAGTAGAAGTCTAACTGTGGGGAAAAACCCTATTTAGGAGCAAATTTACCAAACTTTTTGACAGTGAATCTGCATGTTCTAGTCTTGGTAGCTTGAAATAACTTCCTGTGGGTGTGCCCAAGATGCCTGCAGTATGGAGGACTTTGAACATACATTTGACAACTGGTGCAACAAATACAGAGGAAGCAAGAGAGATCAGATACCTCTATTGCAATTTCATGAGTGTGTAAAGACTAAATAAAAAAAAAAAAAAGGAAGAAGGTGAGAGAGCCACAAGAGGTTCCACCCACATTAACACAGCAGTCCAGGTGGCTGTTCTTGTTCCAGCATCAACAAGCGCCACACTCCTGAGAACACGGAAAAGTACTTTGGCACAGCAAAGCCGGAGAGAACAAGATTGCATCTCGAGCCCCTAAGTTGTCGTCGAGAGCCCGGTCCTCAACATGCGAGGCTTGGGCTTCAAAGTGTGGTTGCATAAAGTCCAGGCAAACTGATGGAGGGGCTTGATCAAAGCAGTGTTTGGATGAGGAGGCCTCGCAGAAATAGATGGTTATGTAACTGCAAATAATGGCGGGATACCACTAGCGGTAAATATAATGTCCTTGATTTGAAGCAAAGCTGTAAGTGAGAGTCCAGCGAGGAGATGGGGAGGGAGAGGGGGGGAGAGTGGGAGAAGGACTTTAGGAGGGAATTCAAAGAGTTTTATGGGCAAGGGCGGAGAGGAGATTGCTGGCTGGACCTTGAGGGTGTCAAACTATTTTTACTGCCCTCACTCTCCTTCTTTCTTAGTCCAATCAGGGGTGTTAGGAAGCAGTAAAAAGTGCTCCCTTTGCCATTCCTTCCCCAAGGAGATGAGCCGACAGGTTAGAACAAACAATAGGTTGTTTTGTCATTTGGATTATTGTGCACGATAAAAAGAGGAGGGAGAGCACCTTCTCTGTAAACGCTCACAGTGGAGTCAGCAGTGTCAGAGCAGATCTTGGTTAAGCTAATGAGTGAGAATATTTGTCGAATGCTCAGCAGATTTTGGAGACAATCCACCAACATCTGCAAACAGCTGTCCCTCGACTCTGTGTTCCTGCACTCTGGACGTCTTTTTTTCCCCTCTGCGAACACTTCCTGCACAGTGTGTTCTTTATTGGTGTGGATGGTCAAATCAAAACAGAATCAAACTGTTTTAAAGTCATGGAAAACTCTGCAGAGCGCTGGCTGCCTGGAGACACTAAACAGACTAAAAGGCTGGGGAAAAACAGATCGGACCTGCCGTATCGCTAGGGCAGTACTTGACTTGGGTAAAAGCTATCTCCTGACGAGATAAGGCCAGACATGTTTGAGTCAGAATGGCCTGGTCCTAATTTTAAAGTTCCTGTCTCCCTCAGTGGCTACTACACAAACACAGGCTCTCATGCTACACCTCCCCACCCCCCCTCCTCCGAGTACTCCTGCACATGTGCCAGCAGATGGCTAATGCCCAGACGATAAAGAAGTTGAGGCAAGCCTCGGCAAAGCTTACCATCTTTCTTAAATCTTCCCAGCGACCTAATAAAGCAGCACAGCAGGGAAAGACAGAGGAGCAGAAATTCAGACGGGAGGCGCTGTAAGGAGTTGAAATGTGTCCTAATTTGAGAAGCAGGAAGAGGCTCGAAGAAAGTGATTGTGTCTGTCCAGGTTTCTGTCACGCTGCGGGACAAAATGTGCTGTCTGCATGTCAGCAGCATTATCCCACAACTGTGATGATCAACACCATAATCCGTCCACCCCCACTCTCGCAGCAGCCAACTTCCTCATGCCACTCTGCCATTAACCGGGATCACATCTCCCCTGAGTGCATGCCTGCGTGTGTGCCGAGGTGCATGTTTGCGTTTAAGTCTACCTGAGCTGCCTGTCTGTCCCCTCTTACCGCCTTTACGCTTTCTGTGCGTGCATTTGTTTGCACAGCTGGTTTGTGCAGCCCGGCCAGGCAGCACCAGCCAAACCCAACAGCTGTGCTCCCCGACAGCGAGCCAATGCGTAATGAGGGCCCGACCCTTCGATGTGAGAACAAGCTCCAGTTATCGATGAACACTGCATCACTTCCACCTCCTTTCTGTCAATCTCCTGGATACGCACGGAAACCCTGACCCAAAGTTAAACTGTTCTATAGATCTTAAACGTTGGTGCTTTACAATCCTCAGTGTGCGCGCGTCTGTGTGTGTGTCTTCTCTAAAAAGAGCCTCTTAATGGCTGCATGGATCTTTGTGAAAGCACCCCCCGATCATTATCCCTTTAATGTCCTTCCGACAGCAGATTCCAGCATTTATGGTACAGGCCTATATCTGCCCATAAAGCCTTTTATTGTTTAGCCTGGCTCTATGGTGGCCGTAACCTGGTTTTCCCATTTTTTATGGGGACCTTCACTATATCACAGGGGGGAGGACAAAGCTGCCCACCATCGGTGTTTACCAAAGTATGGCCTACTCATAAATCCATCGTGGCCGGCGGCATTCTGGAAATACCTCAGCGGAGGGAGAGAAAGAGAGGGAGGGGAGGAGGGGGGGAAGGAGACATGGCTTATTGTATGGCTTGTAATCTTCCACACTCTGCAGCCTTGAGTTAGAGAGCCCATCTCCTCAATGATCATTAGGTCTATGTTCCTTTGCACCGAGTCCATCACTCAGCAAATCAAGAGAAAATTGCTATGGATGTTACCCTGGAGGAAGGATATCTCAATATCAGTCATGCCGGACTTGGAATGGCCCCCATTAGCTGTCAGAAGCAGGGAGATGTTTAGTACATACAGATGGACACAGCGCTAATTCTATTAAGAAAAAGACAAGAGGGACAGAGAGCGAAACACAGAGACAAGGGGGAACCAAGAGAGCAAGCAGAGGACAGAAACCCTGAAAGAAATGTGGAGTAAATTATGAGAGTGCAAAAGGGATATTCAGTTGATATATACAAATCAATGAGCTGCGGTCAAAAGAGGTGAGAAGTGTGTTTTTGAACCAGTGAGCTATTTCCTGCGAGTGAAGATCAGATAGCTGGTGGCATCCAGAGGAAAGAAAGCTGTGTGTATTTCAGAATCAGAAATATGGTACAGGAAAGTAGGTTTTTTGTTTTTTTATTTACGTCATCCAAACATTGCAGATTTATTTATTCTCAGTGGGTGAATTCTGGTGTTCCTCCACTTAATGAAAAACTGGACCGAGCGTCAGTCTTGGATGAGAACATTTGTTAATGTGCCATCTCAGTGATAATGAGTTCCAGTTTGCTTTCTACTATCCTCTCCGTAGGAAATTCCACCAATTTGTTTGGCACATTAAAAAAAACTGAAACAGATTTTAAAAACATGGAAAATTGCACAAAGATTTAGTGGGACATTCTCATGCAAAACATTTAAACGGGCCAGTTTGTTGAAGAGAGGCTGAATATCTGTCAGGATGAATAAAATAAAGGTGTTACAGCAAACACAATGTCAGTTCTACACTTCAGAGTGGTGCTGTAGCACTCAAGATTGGTCTTTCTAAAGGTGTTATCTCAGAATGAACAGTGTTTTTACTCTCAGACAAAGAGGACTCTCTTTTATTGTAAGACCAGAACACGATCATAACTGCAGGGACATCGCTAAATTGAAATCATTTATGTGATTGGATGTAAAATCCTAATTCAAATGCAACTAATAGCTCAACCTATTTATAATTAGACATTCTCTGTGATGGTTAACGAGTGATCCACCCCATTCACACATTCACAGAAAGAATAAGAAGAAGCTGTGGCTGTCTAGGAGTAGAGGTCAGTCAAATCGTCTTAACCACAGTTACAAACCACAAAGTGTGAATCTGCTAAACGGCATCTAAAAAAAAACACACACACACACAGCAGCATGTAAATTCTGCCATGCAACGCTTACTGAGACATCTGGGAACACGTAAAACTTTTATCAGCCCTTAGAAGGGACGCATTAGGAAAGGTAATGCTTGCAAAGTTGGCTTATTAACCCTATTAATTTGCCTCTGCACATAAACTCTTCAGAAATCTCTTTATCCCTCGCTTAAAGACATGCAGTAAATACTGACTATACATATTAGTTAGAGTGCTGGTTTTCAGT